TTAGCATGAGGCCACCAGAGCTTCTATTAATGCCTAGGATGTTGGTCTTTATGTATTGTTTTATTTTTTAATTTAATTTAATTATTTTTTTATGTGTGTACCATCAGATCGAATCTGACTGGTACAGGAGGAGATTGCCCCTCCTTCTTCAGCAGAGCATCTGGTGGATTTGAACCACGTACCTCTGGGATTGCAGTGTAGCTTCCTGCCACTAGGCCACCAGAACTCCCTACATTTTATTTTTAATAAATTCCAACTTTCCTACATTCATACTTTGTACATTTCAAATTCCAAATATTTCTGTTTAAAGTTATTCCATCTCATTTTGAGTCTTTTCACATCAACAAATGAAGATCCTTCATTGCATGAAAACTTATCTTCACATGTCCTTATGGTAGACTCACCTGGACTGATAAGCAACTCTTCATAATAGATGAAGAGTAGATTGATATTATCAACTATTTCATCCCTGTGGGATCCATAATGAACACCTTTGCTATCAGCAGTCAGGATATCAGTAATGTATTGGACAAGTCTACTGTCAAAGGCTTGGAAAGGAGGATGGTGAGCAAAAGAGAGGAAGATTCTCAATGAGATGGATGGACACAGTAGCTGGACTGCAAAAATGGGCTCTAATGTGTCAGAGATGATGAGGATAGTATATGATAAAACAGGGTAATTTACTGTTTATAAGGTCACTATGAATTTCACTTGACTTGATGGCACTTAACAAGAAGTACTTTGAAGAGGCTTCTTTTCCCCGGTCCCATTTTAAATGCTTTCCAAACTGAGAGGCTTATCTTCTGGCATGATATCAACAATGTTCTTCTGTTATCTGTAGAGATTTTGAAGATCTGGTATTTCACAAGTGATTGCTTCTTTATCTTAGTCTCAAAGCTCTGCCAAACCAGTCAGTCCTGGCTGACTCTTGGTATTTGAAAAGCAAGTGGCGTAGCTTCTAGCAACAAAGCAACACACAAGCCACCATAAATGAGTGGTGGGACTTAAAATATACCAAACCTAAATTTGGTCAATGCAAAGTAGATGAATGGTATGATGTAATATGATATATCAGAATAAAGGAAATGTTAAGGTTATCAAATTTAACAAAGGCAAAAATTTTCATGCTGGAGACTATCTTTTACAAAGACAAGAGATTGTAAAGAAAAAGGAAATAAGCATTGTGGTATGAATTCAAAGTGAGAACAAAACAGGATATATTTAGATCAAAAAATAGGTGTTATACAAAAGCACATGTCTCTAATAAGGTTTAAAAAATATTTTCATGAGCTAAAGAAAGTGTCTGTAAGATTTTCTTAACTTTTAATTCAACTGTCAGACATAGTTTGAGTTTATAAGGAGAATAAAGTCAAAGAGTCTATAAAGTTAGAAGTAAGGAATAAAATATTACTTTCCTTTAATTAACACTACTTTATGCTGTTTTCCTATTGTTTTTGTGAGGTAGGAAAATAACATCAATTAGTACACACAAAGTAAAAATTAAAGTTATATCTAATTTTCTTGCCAGTAATAGTGTGAGAAAGAATGGTTGATAACTGCGTATTTATACTGCTTCATGCTTGACACCTTTGATTGCTTAGCATCTGACTACTATTCCCACTGCAATTAAACTATGCCAGGGCATAGGAATCTCTGTGCCATTTCCATGTAAAAAAAGATATTGGAATCTTTATCAGCTCTTGACTACAGTTTCTACTATCTCTAAGGAGGCTTGCTACCTTTTTAAAGTTCACAGTACAACCTAATTCCAAATAGAATCATCATGAAGAAAATATTCAGGATCAAAATTATCTTGGTAGGGAAGAAAAAGTAGACATAAAATACAAACAAGCAAACAGACAAACAAAAAAAAAAAACAAACCCCAAAACAAACCACCAATATCTACAATCAAGGAAAAAGAACCAAGCTTTTTATCATTTATCATTATCATTTTTATCATTGATTAAGTCATGGACCTTCATAAGTATAATCTATGATCTGTTAAGATGTAAAACACTGATTGTTATTCACTATTATATTTTTAAGTTATGTGAAAAGGTATGGAGAAAGATGAATCCCTGACACCTTCTTTTCTTCATTTGAACCAAGTAGTGCTTCCTTGCTCTGTTCTGAGGACTGCTTCTTGATCTAAGTATAGGTTTCCAGGAGCACAATTAAATGTTCTTAGATTCTCATTCTTCTAAAGGTTAGTCACAATTGATTCATGTAGTGTATCACAGTAATCTATGTATATTCTACTGTTACTGTTATTGTTATTATTATGTGCCGTCGAGTTGCTTGCGACTCATAGAGACCCTACGTACAAGAGCCCTTAAACCCTGCTCTATCCTGTGCCAAGCTAATTGTCTCTGACACACTTACTCCCACTAGCCCAATCACTGAACTGATCCATCTCATCAAGGGTCTTCCTCTCTTAAGCTGTCCTTCCACTCTCCCAAACATGATGTCCCTCTTCAAGGACTCCTCCTTGCAACATGTCCAAATTATGCCAGACAAAGCTTCAGAATTCTTGATTCCCAAGAGCATCCCGGATTCACCCTATCCAGGACGAACCCATTTGTTTTCCTGGCAGTTCATGATATATTCAACACTCTTCTCCAACACCACAGCTCAAAGGCATCAATTCTCTATCATCCCTAGTCACTGTCCAGCTCTCCAATGCATAGCACGCAATTGCAAAGACTATCTTCAGTACTTTGGAGAGGTCCCTGATGGCTGACTTTCCCAATGCAATTCGTCTCTTGATTTCCTGGCTGCTGGTACCAATTAAAACTGTTAACTATATCAATCTCTTCACCATCCAGTGGCTAGAATTTTTTTTCCTTGATGTTGAGCTTCAATCCAAACTGAAGACTACAGTCCTTGACCTTCTACAGTAAGAGCTTCAGGTCCTACTCAGGAAGCAGGATTGTGTCATCTGCAGAATGCAGTTTGTTGGTGAATCTTCCACCAATCCTTATGCCATATTCCTCCTGTACAGCCCAGCATCCCCTTTCCAAATTTTGTACTATGCAGTGTCTCCTTGCTCTGTTCTGATGACTGCCTTTTGCTCCAAGTATAGGTTTCACGTAAGCACAATCAAATGTTCTGGGATTTGTATTCTTCTCAAAGTCAGCCGTAGCTTGTGATCCACACAGTCAACAGCTTTGCATAGTCAGTGAAGCACAGATAAACATTCCTCTGCTATTCTCTGCTCTCTGCCAAGATCCATCTAACAGCTATAATATCCCTGTACCACGCCCTCTTCTAAACCCAGGCTGCACATCTGACAGTTCTCTGCTGACATGTTGCTCCAGTCATTTTTTGATAATTTTCAGCAGAATCATGCTTGCATGTGATATTAATGATATTGTTCAATAATTTCCACATTCTGTCAGGTCACCTTTCTTTGGAATGGAAACAAATCTTGATCTCTTCATGTCAGTTGATATTCTAATACTGATCTGAATTATAACCTCTTGATATCCTATTATGATTCTGTGTAGTCTGTCAGCTTTTGCAAAGAAGTTTGGAATCAGTGAAGTAGTAAGATTGTTTTGGGGGTGTTGAGTAGGGCGAAGTGCAGAAGTGTGGGGGACATGTTTGACCTAATGAGAATTGGTTTTGTGTTGTTGATAGGGCAGTTCCCCTTTATGGAGTTGATGGAGGCCAAATATGGCTCCCTGAACATGGTCAGGAATATGGTGTCAGGAATGAGATTCTTTGTAATGGCTCCAGTCTCATGGCAGCATAGGATTTTGTAAGAGGGAGAAGTTATGGGATTGTAAAGTACAGTTAAAATGACTATTTATGCTGCCACTAAAATAGAAAGGAAAGGTAAATTCCTTTTGTCCTTAGGTAAAGGATAGAGCCCAGAGGCCATATGCATGTGAATGAAATAAGTTAAGGGAGGAGAATAAAGTTGAACTAGGAACTCTTTAAAAGTTTATGTGTTAAGAGTTTTGTTGATTTAGTGTTATAAATATTGCTGTTTCTGTTTCTTCCATATAGTAATATTAAGATATATTGTAAAAATGATTCTGCTTCTTATTGCTTTAAGTTTATTAGATAATGTTGTTTCTTTTATGTATTAATGTAAAGATATATTATAAAAATGATTAAAGGGACCTCTCACGAGACTGGCACATTGGGGGACATTGGCTTTGCTCTGCTGCAAGACATCAAGGCGGAGGTGGGATCACTGACCCAGGAATGCCTTCCAGCCACCACTTCCCCTGCATCTGTTAAAGACTGTGGCTGAGTCCAGGCACACTCACACACTGACCAGAATAGGAGCACTGCCTGCCAGGTTGAAGTGCTGCAGTTTTGGAGAGCAATCCCACCCAGAGCACTAGACCACTGCCACTGCCACATGGAGATCCCACTGACCCACTGCCTAGAGACTGCCCAGCTGCTTCCCATGCTTTCCAGTACTAGGAGCACCAATATCACAGGTACTTTGGGTGAAATATAACTGTCTAGCCACATCACATGGGACCTCTTAAGCTCAAACAGAAGGGGCTGGGCCAGGTTGAGCCTGGGTGAGACGCCATTTCTGGAAGGGGACAGGCTGCCTCTTTTGTCATTCAGGTACTTTTGGGGAAATACTGCTGTCATGCTCTCAACCCTGTGGCCTGCTGGCTAAGAAGGAAGCACAAATAAATAGGTGCTTTGCAAAACATTGCCATATTCTGGGTCATTATATAGTTATAACAACTTAAAATCTACTAAGAAAAGACTCACATAATGTCACGAAAGCAGCAATCTGCCTCAGTCATCATAACCCTTCTCCTAAAACTGCAGACACAATGAATACTCTGGACAGAGAAAACAAAAAGAAATATGTTGATATGGAGTTATTTGAACAGCTACAGAAGAAGATGTAAATGATGGGTGAACCAATGGAAGCCATTAAGAGAGCAAATATCTTAGAGACAACATTACAGAAGAAATATATTGATGAGGAGCATCTTGAACAGCTATGGGGGAAATGCAAAAGATGGAAGAAAGAATTGATATTAGAGAGAAAGAGGTACTAGAACTTAGAAAAAAACAAAACAACATTACAAAAGAGAGAGGGAATAGCCAACAAAGTATTGAAAATAACATAAAAGCATGAAAATGCAATACAGAATATTAAGCCAAAAAGACACAAGTATGCAACATGCTGGTAGGACAGAAAAGTAGAATGGAAGTGATGGAACAGAGAATCAGAGGGCTGGAAGACAAGAGCCTCACAGGAAATATACTAGAAGAAAATTCAGAAATGAGACTGAAAGAAAATGAAGAAAACATTAGAATCATATGGTATGACACCAAAAAGAACAACATACATATGATTAGAATTCCAGAACATGGGCATTCACAGTGAAGTCACTGAAAAAATTGTGGACGAAGTACAAGAAGAAAACATTCCAGGTATTTTGAAGAATGGGGAAATCCACATTCAAAAAGCACAGTGAATATCAAATAGGCTAGACCCAAAAAGAAAAACATCAAGACATATCATACTAAAATTCTCTAAATTAAAAGACAAGGATAGAATACTAAAATAGCACCTGAGAAACAAAGAGTCACCTTCAGAGGGGAAACAATTAGATTAAGTTCTGATTTCTCAGCAGAAACCATCAGGAGAGAAGATAATGGGATGGCATATACAGAAAGTTAAAAAACAAACAAACAAACAAAAAAAACCAACCTAAAAACAAAAACAATTGCCAGCCAAGGATTCTAGATGCAGCAAATCTCTCCATCAAATATGAAGGAGAAATTAGATCCTTTGCAGAATAAGAGGAGAAAACAAGATAAAAACTGCAAGAAATTTTAAGTGAATTCCTTCACATGGAGATGCCAAAGGAAAGTGTATGTACTACAGTAACAACAACAACAACAACAAAATAAGAAGCATGGCAAAAGGGCAAAAGGAAATCCTGGCCTGACAATAAATACACTTACTATGAATGGACTAAATGCACCAAGTAGGAGAAAAAGAGTAGCAGAATGGATAAAAAATCAAAGTCCATTACAACGTTGACTACAAGAGACGCATCTAAAAAAGAAGAGAAAGACAGACTCAAAATCAAAGGCTGGAGAAGAATATACAAAGTAAATGAGAACTACAAAAATGCAGAAGTAGCTATGCTAATTTCTGGTAAAATAGACTTCAGAATGAAAATCACCATAAAAAATAAGGAAGGACATTAGGTACTGATTAAAGGCACAATAATTAAAAAGTGATATTCTTGGTCAGTATTTATACACCAAATGATAGACATGCCAAATACATAAAACAACAGTTAACAGAATTGAAGGAAGAAATAGCAACACAATAGACACCACTATCACCAAAAGATAGGTCAATGCAAAAGGAACTCAGCAAAGATGCAGAAAATCTAAACTATACAATCAGCCAACTTGACCTTGTGGATGTAGTCAGGGTACCTCACACAACTAAAACTCAATTCACTGTCTTCTCAAGTGCACATGGTGTATTCTCCAGAATTGATCATATATTATGGCACAAAGTAAGCCTTAACAAATTAAAAGAAAAAAAAAACATTGAAATTATACAAAGTATCTTCTCAGACTACAATGCAATAAAACTAGATGTTAACCACTTGAGATTAAAGCTTGCAAAACCACCCATGTGGAAATTAAATAACTCTCTGTTAGACCACAATTGGATATAAAAGAAATACAAGTGAAATAACAATATTCCTTGAGACAAATGGAAATACAATGTAACTAAAACTCTGGGATGCAGCTAAGGGAGTCCTCAAGAGGGAGCTCATAATAATTGGCATACAAATTTTAAAAAAAAGAAAGAAAAATAACAATGATCTAAATCAACAGTTTTGTCAAGTAGAAAAAGAACAGCAATCTAATCCTACAGCCTCTAGAAGAAGAAAAAAATTATAAGGACAAGAGCTGAAATAAAAAAGAGATAGAAAGCAAAAAAACCCAAAACCATCAAAAAATCAGGATCTGTTTTTTCACTGGCAAATTTAACAAAAGAAAAGACACAGATCGTTCGATTAAGAAATAACAGAGGTGACATCACAACATAACCAGATGGAATTAAATCAATACTATCAGAATACTATGAAAAGCTATACTCAGATAAATTTAAAAATCTAGAGGAAATGGACCAATTCCTTGAAACTTGTGCCCTACGCAGATTGACACAAACAGCCACCGAAAACTTGAGCAGACCCATAACAAAAGAAGAAATTGAACAGGTCATGAAAAGACTTACCCATAAAAAAGTCCTGGACCAGATACTTGGCAGCTGAATTCTACCAAACATTCAGAGAGTATCTATCACAAATTCTACCTAAATTATTTTTTAAAATTAAAAAAGAAGGAATATTCCCAGAGACATTCTATAAAGCAAGCATAACCCTAATACCAAATCAGACAAAGGTATTACTAAGAAAGAAAACTATAGACAAATATCCCTCACGAATATAGATGCAAAAATCCTTTACAAAATCCTAGCCAATATACTCCAAAAGCACATAAAAAAATAATAATTCATCATGACCAAATGGAATTCATAAAAGGTATGCAAGGTTGATTCAACATAAGAAAAATAATTAAAATAGTTCACCATATTAACAAAGCAATAACAAGAACCATATGATCTTAGCAATTGATGCAGAAAAGAAATTTGACAAAATCCAACACCCCTTCCTGATAAAGACATTCATCAAAATTGGAATAGAAGATAATTTTCTCATTATAGTGAAAAGTATATAAGCAAAACTAAGAGCCAATATCATTCTCAATGGAGAAAGACTAAAAGCAACTTCCTTGTGAAGAGGGACCAGACAAGGATGCCCAAAGTCACCACTTCCATTCAATGTTGTACTGGAAGTCTTTGCTAGGGCAATAGGACAAAAGAAGGAAATAACAGGCATCCAGACAGGCAACGAGATGGTTAAACTATCACTACATGCAGATGATATGATAATATACACATAAAGTCTCAAGGACTCAACAACAAAAAAAACTATTAGAGGTAGTAGAACAATTTAGTAGAGTGGCAGATTATGATATCAATATCCAAAAATCAGTGGGATTCCTCTATAGTAACAAAGAGAACTCAGAAAGCTATACCATATACAATAGCTAACCACAAATCGAGATAATGGAGAGTGAACCTAAATAATGAAACAAAATGCGTGTACAGAGAAAACTACAAAACATTTCTGTGAGACACAATAAAAGATGTAAAGAAATGGGGAAATGTGCCCTGTTCATGGATAGGAAGACTCAATATTGTGAAAATTACAATCCTGCCAAAAGCAGTCTTCCTCCAATCCTGATACACATTACTTCTCATAAAGTCCAGATTCTCAAATTATCTTTTCTGCATCAGTTAATTGACTAAAATAGTATGGAGACAAGATACATCCCTGGCACACTCTTTTCCTGATTTTGAACCAGGAAATGCTTTCCTCCTCTGTTCTGAGGACTGTTTCCCGATCTAAATATAAGTTTTGCATAAGCACAATTAAGTGTTCTGAGCTTCCCATTTTTCTCAAAGTTAGCCAAAATTAGTTGTGATCCATACAATCAAATGCCTTTGCATAGTCAATGAAACACAGATAGATGTTCCTCTGGAACATTTTGCTTCCTGCCAAATTCTATCTGGCATTGGCAATAATGTCTCTAATGTTACACCCTTTTCTAAATTTGGCTTGTATTTCTGATAGTTCTCCATCAAGGTACTCTTGCAGTCATTTCTGGATAATCTTCAGCAGGATTTTGCTAGTGTCTGTTACTAGTGATATTGTTCTTTAATTTCCACAATCTATTGGGTCACCTTTTTTGGAATTGGAATAAATATGTATCTCTTCCAGCCAGTTGACCAGGTAGCTGCTCTACATATTCCTTGGCACAACTTTGTGAACACATGCAGGGCAGCATCTGTTTGTTGAAATATGTCAATTGATATTTAATCAACTCCTGGGGCTTTATTTTTTTTCGAAGTCCTTAAGAGCCTGCTGAACTTCCTCCTTCATCACCATTGCTGCATTACCTTATGTTGTTTCTTGAAATACTTCTGTGTCAGCCACTTCTTTTTGGTAAAATACTTTGTATACTCCTTCCATCTTCTTTTAATGCTTCCTAAATCATTCCATATTCTGCCTATAGCATCCTTAAGCATTGAACTCATAGCTTGTATTTGTACATTTCCTTTAGCTTAAGAAATGCCAAGCAAGTTTGGTCCTTTTGACCTTCTGACCCCAACTCCTTGCACATTACATTAATAATACTTTGCCTTGTGGAATTTCTTGAGGAATGTGACATCAGGATTGGAAAAAGACTCATCAACAACCTACATTATGCAGATAAAACAACTCTGCTTGCTGAAACTGAAGAAGACTTAAAGCACTTGCTGCAGAAGATCAAAGGCTATAGTCTTCAATATATAGTGTAGCTCAACATTAAAAAGATAAAGATTCTTACCACAGGGCCAGTAGCAGCATCATGATAGAGGGAGAAGAGGTTGTTAACAGTCACAGCTTGCTCGGCTCCACAATCAATACTCTTAACACAAGCAGTGAAGATATCGAAAGACCAAAAGCATTGGGAAAATTTGCTGTTAGGTACCTCTTCAGGGTGCCAAAAAGCAATGATGTCAGTCTAGACACTAAGGTGCACCTCATCCAGGCCTTGGTTTTTGCAATTACTTGTTAAGTTTCAGAGAGCTGGACAGTGACTGAAGATGAAAGAAGAAGAGTTGATTCCTTCAAATTGTGGTGCTGGAGAAGAGTTTTGAACATACCTTGGACTGCCAAGAAAACAAATAGGTCTGTCTTGGAGAGAAGGAAACTAAGTTTCTCCTTGGAAGCTAGGATTTTGAAGCTCCTTCACATACTTTGGACACGTGGCCAGAAGAGACCAGTCCTTGGAGAAGGACATCATGCTTGAAAGGGTGGAGGAATGGAACAGGAGAGAAAGACCCTGGATAAAATGAATTGATACAGTAATCTTGGTTTGCTGTGATGCTGGACATTGTGCCAT